TCTTAGATAAGATCGTTAATTATAATCCAGATACATGTTATATGAATCATACTTTCTTAATTTATCACTCAAATTAGTGAAAATTACATGTAAATTTGAATGAAAGTATCTCATATTTAATATACAGTGATACTTTATTAGATTGGAACTCGTACAATTATTTAATAAAATTTATGAAATAGGAATTTTTAATCAAAGGCTTTTACAGTAACAAAAGAATAATGGGGAAAAAATACAGGAAGTAGAGATCGAACGTAATTGTTAACTAGGCTCTATCTTGGAATAAACAATTCGTAATGTGTTACGAATGATGACTCACAGAGTCGTGTTAATGAAATTCTACTTCCTCGCACGACAAAGAAACGCGTGTCCCGCCTGTTGTGTTGCGACGAGTCGTGCCTTGTGCGCTAATTTCACTAACTATCCGGTCAAGAATCGTTCAATGAACGATAACCCCAGAAAAAAAATAGCACTGCCTTCTGGCGATATTACAAGCGGAAGAAAAACGCGATTCATTGACAGTGTCCTTTGTTGAGCAACTAGTCAAAGAGAGAGTAAAACTTTCTTTTCTTTTCAATGAAATAATAGTAGATTCAGTTGAACATTGCTTTCAATTTTTAATATTTAAAATATACAATTACATTTATTTTTTTACTAGTTAATATATTAACTTAATTGCCAGCAAAAATTAGTGCGGTAATATATTTAAATTCTAATATTTAATATTAACTTAATTGCCAGCAATAATTATTGCGGTAATATATTTAAATTCTAATATTTAATATTAATTTAATTACCACCGAAAATGATTGCAGTAATATATTTAAATTTTATTACGTAATGTTAACTTAATTAATACCAACGTCTCATTATATTAAATTATAATGAAGAGTGCAACGGCATCTGCATCTCAGCACCGACGTAATGGCATGGAAAACCGTTTATGTATTTATAAACCTGCACCCTATGGGACACACGTGTGGGGTATCGTAAAAGCATGCTAGACCTTAGCAGGAGGGATCGCCTACAAGGGAATAGAAGAAAAAAAATGGACAAAAATATATTTTGTACTCACCGAAAACATTTCCTAAGAGTCTAAGCCGAGCCACTCTTGTGGCGCTATTCACGGTTAACGGTCTTCGTGGACGTTGATAAGACAAAGCCAAAGACATTGAGAATCGTTACAAGTAAACGATATCAGAAAAGTAGATCGCGTATTTCGAAGAAAAAATTCCACAACGAAACGCCTCTTTAAGCCTCCTTAGGATAGGGAAAACAGAGTCTTCTCCAGAACTGTAGCAATTCAATTATCTCGAGACAATTAATGGCTACTCAATCAACCCGCGTCAATCTTAACCTAAAATAAAATTCGCGAAAGGATATTGAAATATTCAGATATAAGCTGAATGTTCTATGATTATTAAAACAATTTTCTTAATTAGATTATAAATTAATTGATTATTAATTGCAATATATTATACCTACTCACTGGTTTTAATAATTCTTTTATCTTTTTGTACTTTGCAAAACTACCGATGCGCGCTTCTCTGAATATCGCACCACGGTTCGAGATATCGAAAGGGCAATCAATCGCTATCGAATCAACCCCGGGAAATTCAAATTCAGAAGTGTTCGCGAGACAATACCAAAGTACTAAAATATTTTACAATTATCGGAAGAATTTTCTCGATTAAAAAATGAAAATTGACGATTACCTAGTCGAATATACTTACTCGTTTCACTAATTGTTCCCCTCGCACTTTACACTCTACCTCTGAAATAATTGATCGAATAATCGCGCCACAGTTCGAGAAGATGTTTCGAAGGGGGGAGATGGCGCTGTATCAAAGACGGAAGTGAGGAAGGAAGGAAGGCACGCGACCAAGGCATACCTGTCGCCCGGTTTTTCCCTCGGATGAAATCTCGCGACAAGGAAAACGATGAACAAGGGAAGAAGAGGAGGCTGAATAAAAGGAGCGCGAAATGACGCGGAGATGCGAGGAAAAGGCGGGCAGCTTGAACCACGCCACCACAACGACTGGCTTTCGTTGCAGAAGCAAACTCCCCATCTGCTGTGTGTTCGATGTTGCCCCAACTCCCTGCTGTCATTACGTGTACGTGCACGGACGAGAACGCCTTTGTCGATGAGCGTACGTGTGTGGTCACTAACACAAACGTGCAATTCGTGCGCTCCGCCAGCCGGACGCTCCTAACCTCTCGAAGCGGAAAGCTTGCGGTGAAAAGAAACGCTATTATATCTGGAGGATCTCACCTTGCGGATATCTTACAGATAAGCTGTTATTTTATCTACCATTGACCAGTGTATCAAAGAATGCCGTTACAACGCGATAAAGAGGAAACTTTGCTATTTGATGAGGGTATGTAAACGATTGATAAAGAAGAACGTAAGTGAAAACAATGACACGTAAGATATTAATTAACGAGAGAAATATACGATATTCGAAATTTTGTACAATTGCAATGTGACTTCACGGTTGAAATTTTTAATAAAAAATTAATTGATTAAAAATTATACTGGTAGATATATGAAGATGAACGCGGAGAGAGTCGAAAATTGGAGGCCTTTTTTTTTTTCTTGACCCAAATCTACACATTTAGCGAGCAGTTGTAGATATTGGTATATTACACGAGTGGTGTGCAAGCGTGTACAAGAAGCGGCATGTATGTCGCAGCTGCAGCTGCCTGCATGAACGGAACACAGGGCTTTTGGGGATGGCAACGGTTGCGCACCACCTGGCCTCAGGAAGCCAGCACCGGGCCTCGGCATTGGCGTAGACTTTGCTCGACGACGAACGACCGGAAAAAAGGGGGAATATAGAGGAGACGAACAATAGACCGGCGACTTTCGAAATTCCGACACCCCTGAAAATGTTCCTCTACCCTCCCAAAATCGATCAGTCTGCCTATTTGAAAGGGAATTCGACCCTGAAAATATTTCTTACGATTTTCCTGGCTATACTTAATTGCAGTTATTTATTGTTTCTTTTTCTCGGCTGATTTTCATGCATCAACGACGAGGAAAGACTTTATTGATGGATCGACCACGTTTTATTACCACGGTTCCGCGACAAATGACGGGGGGTGGAATTTTTCTCGCTTTACGAGCCGATAACTTTTACGGGGTATTACCATACTTGATCGCATTAATAGTTCTGAGCATAATAAGTCACGATCGGATTAAGGGTAGCCAGGGACCCTAGCAGACGTTTGCCCATTGCTTAATGGACGCGTTAGTTCCATACCCATAGTCGCGCACCCTCGTTTTATTCTCAAAGTAACGTATCAGTAAATCGATCATTAATTTCGAATAATTTCAATTTCTTCATCCCGAAAGAAAACCTTAAATTCTCATTTCCAATGAACGTAGAATCTCTTCGAATGACGGTGTTCCATGAAGCAATTTAGATGAAAATTAAAGCGTAAAGTCGTCGCGTACGAGCGCAAAATTTCTATAGAATTTCCACAGCCAACGAGCTGCAACAGGGGTGAGAAGGCTTGCGCAACCCTCTGTCCACCCCCGCACCCCATACGTCCATGGGGTTTGCGCGTTGATATCGCAATAGAAGCTGTATCGATCCCGTCCCGACACGAGACCGGCTGTTGTCAGGGGGTTGATAACGATATGCAAGCTCTATAGACAGCGCCGCTAAAAGCTCCGCGAAGCTTTCAGCCTCTGTCGCAACCGCCTGGATACACGCCACTCCCTCTCGGGGATGTTTTAGCCATTTTTCGCTTTCCAACCAGGGGAAAGTACCGATTGACCCTTCTGCGATAAAACGAATTGAGACTGATCTTTTTCTCAAGGCCCGTTGCTAAGGCTGGAATTATTAACTGAAATTAATTTTCAAATTTCCCGAGTAAAGATTTATAACAAAGAGATATCCTTCCTTGTCAGTGCCATTATTTTTAAATAAAATTTGGAAATTTATCATTCGAAGAAAATAGGAGAAATAAAAACGCTATTGGCGTTGGCGGATCGATAAGCGGAACTTCGATAGCTTTTAGAGGAGGTCTGTCGATTTATCTCGAGTACCTTTCCATTAATGTTTGTCGGATGATCGACGAACGATAGGTGAAAAATTTCTGTCGGAATTCTACCACTAATTTTAGAAAATTTCATGATAAATCGAAGAGGGGATGATGAAAGGAGTCGAATTTCCATACCTGCGAACAGATGGTATTTTGCACGTGCTCCACGAAAGGAAAAGGCACCTTCTTGTTATCGCGATTTGCATGTGAATTCCCACAAGCTCGTACGGGATATTTTTTGTGTTAGTACAAAGTGCAGCCTCCTAGTGCTTGCCGCAGGAAGGAAGCAGGAAAAGAAGGGATCACGTGCAAGGGGAAGCACGTCGAGAAACCGGCAACTTCCCTTCAGGATATCGTGGCAGATGGGCCGTCAAGCTTATCCCCGTAAGAACCCAATGAATCTGGCTGTATAATTCTTCCGTGTAAATTGCTCTAAAATGCTCGAACGAGCCATTAGCGTGTTCAAAGTTTTCACGCTTCGATTACTTTTCCACTTTTCTTCCCCTTTTCTCGTTAAGTCCTTAAACTTTAAGTACTGAAACTTTTCCTTCTACTTTGCATTTTATCTTCGGAAGAAAAAAGAAGAAAATGATAAAGTGCCATTTGTGATAATTTAAATTATCACTATGCCATAATTGAGTGGCTAAATAAATGAATTTTTATAATACTCGGAATAGCTAAATGTCAGATCTGCCGGGACAAATTTGTCCAGAATTTTCCTTGTGAAAGAGGAGAGATGACCGGTTCGAGGAGCGTGATAGTCGACGAGGATGAGGTCGATTTGCATTAACGAGGACAGAGGCTTAATCACGGCGGGGACAAAATGTTCCTCGGCTCGAGTGGACTTTTGATGTTATCGAGGACTGTCCGTCAACGTCCGGACCGGGTCATTCGACTTTCCAGGTTGAGAAGAAAAGCTGGTTATATGGTATAATTGGAGGACACGAAGAAGGGAGATGTGTACACGAGTAGATTAAGACGACCACTGTCTTAAAGCCTTTTTACTCATCCACCGTCTATTGCTCTCGTTGCTCTCTGTTCACCAGGAAACTTTCTCGGTTTACGGGGGTCAATGGTTCACCGTGGTTCTCACTACCCATACAAACACATTTTCGAGATAGTTTTTTGATTACAAAAAGTGAATACCCTTAAATGTTAAAAATCAACTCTAATAAAATTCTAACGATTCAATTAACACTATACATTCCAGCAATAATACCTTGATAAAATTGATTTTGACTGGTTTGGTAATCAATATCCAATGTCCCCAACAGCCGGCCCAAAATTTCCACATAAATTTCCATTTAATTAATTTCGAATCAATCGATCGATCTTAAAACGACCCAAAATTGGTCTCCAACAGGCCACTCAAGATCTCCGCACAAATTTACTAATCCTCGCCGAGAGATTAGTAATAAGCGAGGATCCTCGAGCCGACACAGTTAATTGGTACAATTATATCAATTCCGGCGTACATCCTGCGATTAGCAACGATAAGATGACCACGTAGAGACGTGAACGCGTGGGAGGGAGTGTTGAGAGCCGCTGATCGCACGTTCCGCGATGTTTGAACTTTGACACGTGACAATTAAATCATCTGTCAGTTCCTATTCAGTCGTTGACTCGTCTCGTTGAGGCGCCACGGCGACCAATTGAGCGTGGGCCGTGACACAAACGCCGTCTTTTCGATGGTGGGCGAAGAAAGGGTCAAGCCCCGGTGTCGCGCAATCAACGGGGAACTGCAAGAATCCAGCAGCGTTTCCACCATAGTTGACGAAGAACGCGTATATACCTCGGGAAGAGTTTTAATTGGAACCGGCTACTTGGCCAGTTTTTGGCTAAAGTTTTAATGAAACCACTCGGAGATACTTGAAGCAGGTTGTAACGAAAGAGGGTCTTTTTTGGAGCTTTTTAAAAGGATCGAGGACCTTTCAGAGAGTTTTAATTTTGGAGAGGATTGGCGAAGGGTGGATGATTCGAAGGGTTGTTTCATGGTTTTATTTTGTGGGTATCGCACGTTACCGTGCAGAAAATTAATTTAGATACCCATAACAAAGTTCGTTAAAAATAAAAATACTACTTAATACACCTAACAATTTAATTTAATAATAGGTACCGCTAAGGAAACCCGATAATTAATTTTCATGACCTTCTTGAAACTTCCTCCGAATAAATACGAAGACACGTGCACAGGAAAATTAAGTCTCCCGTTGATGGTATCAGTTTTCTTCAATGCCTTTTTACCCCCCATATTGCATGGAAAACCTGCGAAGTTATAAGATCTCGAAACACTTAGATCCGCTGTATGCACACCTAGCCTTAATCTGATGAAATTAATAATTCATCGCTATCACCTCTTTCTGCGTGCAAGCATAATCTAAATCTACTAATTCCTGCGTGTTTGAAGATTATTATCTGGAGAAAACTTATGGCTCAATTAAAATTAAGCTTGCGTGCGAATGAAAGGATTTTAGGAGGATATTTAAAATAAAGAGATACTCGATGAAATTTGTGATTGAAAATCGACGAGCTGTAAAGAAAAAATAACGACGAGCCTTCATTGTTCGCCCATTTCGATTTGCGGTTTCGCGACATTTGTTCCATTAAAGTGTAGAGGCTCCCAGGAGTAATACGCGCCAAGGGCTGGAGAGGGACACGTCCCTTAAAAAAGTCAATCTTACAGACTGGGGAGAGCCATTGTTGGTCGTAACTAACTTTGCTCGGAAAAATGACTCATCTTTTCTAGTGGATGATAAGAGCGAAATGGAACAATGGAAGAAGATTAATCTGGATTGGTGGATAAAAACATTATGATCGAGGTAGGATACGATCGAGAAAATAATTTTAGGTAAATTTTTGATAAATTGGAAAATTGAATTTTGTCATTCCAGTAACGCGTGTTTCAAACGCCATAAATACATCAGCATTATAATCAATCAAACTGGTCGGACAAAAGGAAGGAGACAATGTGATACATGGTAAAAATGAGGAGGGAAAGATTAAAAAGAAATTAGTATGAAAAGTTTAGGAGGTTGGCGATTCGACGACAGAGCCGTCTCTCAACTGAAATTTATCGCGAGCAACGGCATTGTTGAATTGATAGGCAGAAGCCCAGAGGCTGCCAGACGAATGCTCTCGACTTGAAAAATGGCTTCGCCTCGGTGTCTCAACGTTTGTTCCATTAAAAGCACGACGAACGCTCGCGGGTGCAGTGGAGCATCCGTGGAAGAAAAAGGAAGCCTTAAAGAGGCAACCTCGATAAATCTCCACGAGGGGTTCTCCGTTCTCGACGTTCGAGACGACGCGACGCGTCGCGACGCGAGAAAAATGCATTGTAGGAAAAAAAGTCTGAGATCGAACGGTCGTGGATTGCTTTTGTCCTACCGTGAACAAACTCTGTGTTTTTCTTTCACTCTGACTATCCGGAAAATTCATTTCTTTCTCTCGTTCGTTAACTTTCAAATAATCCAAAAAATTTCCAAATTTATAATCTTCGAATTTTCAAATTTCCATGCCCAAAGGCTTGAAATTTCTGAGGTTCAAAGCTTAAATGCACCGGTGCGTCGCCGACTCTCCGGCCCTAATTCCGACACTGACAAATTGCATCCGTCTTCTAGGAAATAAATATAGGTTGGCTTGGTTTAATCGATACGTATATAAAAGCGGGAGTTCCACCCTTTAGTTTCAAGTAGTCAATCGAGAAGCAGAGGCTACTAATGGTTACCAAATGAACTGCTCGAAAAGCTCTCCTAGCTCGTTGTACGCTTCTTCTGGAAGCACTTCTATCGACGACAGATGTTCAGTAGCTCGAACGTGGCTGCAAGCAACTCTTCAAGTCAGCTGGCGATCCGTTTCAACGGCGAACATTTATTTTCGAACGTGTTCAAGCGAGAGGAAAATTAAATGGAAGCCTCTCAACAGCTCGAGTTTTCAGAAATTTCAGATTTTCAGGTCCGACGTGTAATAATAACGAGTGTATTCCCATCTTAAAATAGTATTTAAGAAAATATTTACTTTGGGCTAGATCAATTTGAAAAACTCGGATATATAAATCTAAGATCGTTCAACTTCGTTTAAACAGCATAATAGTTTTTCCAAACATAAAACACTCCTATCTTTCCGATTAAATTCAGTTAAACGAGGAAAGATCCTCGAGGATAGATTAGGTGAAATAAGAAAAATCGAGATCACGATGGTGATGCAGGTTGAACGAACGAGGGAATTACGGAGCATAGATAAAAGACGCTGTTTTCAGGATGCTCGAAAGACACGTCTCGTTGAACTCACGAATTTCCACGGGGCCTCGAACACGTGCGTACGTTAGAGGCCAAGTTTGCTTATGTACCCGCACGATTAAGTCTCCGTTGGCCGTCACTTCCGGTGCTAGTACCTTAGAACGTGCACGTGCTCCACTCTAGGGTGTTCACGCACCTTGCTTCCTCGAGCTCCAAATGCATGTATCTCGACCTACCATCCCATCGAGTTTCCCTCATGGAAATCGCATAATTTCCTCGCGTGCGGTATTTATTTAACAGTTTCTTCCATTTCCATAATACGATGGTTGGTCTCGTAATAATATCACATTTGCAACTTAATTATTACAGACGGTACGGGGGTCTTTATTTCTTTTTAAATTAAACTCCAAGTGAAATCGTAACTTTCATGAAATTTCATTCGACGCAAAGCGAATTCTTATAAAAGTCAACCAGAGTCAATTACAGCAGTTTAATTATCTTTTCACGGTTCGACTGACCGATCGATATGATTTCAGGGTAAAGGTGAGAGGTGAACGATCGCAGCGTGGACGCAGAATCTCACGAATGGAACATCTCGACAAAAGGGAGCCGGAAAAGGTAAGCAGATTGTTCGTTTCCAGATCGAAAACCGTTTCTGACGCGATACCGTTCAGGTACGTTACGCCGATGACGCGAATTTCCGGTTCGTGATTCAACCTCGTTTCCGTTCCTCCTATCTGCCGAACAGGAAGCACGAAAAACTACGAAATAGCTGAATAATGCCCCGGGGTAGAGAAACAATTCCAAAGGGCAACTTATCCTTAGTAAAACACTGAGCTTTATCTAAATCGTTAGAAGATTAACCAGAGAATTTCCTTATCGGAGTTTCGCAATATTTATGTTATAGTTTACACGATCTTCGGGAGATAGTGGAAGACAAAAGGACGTCCATTTACCAAACAGCTGAGTCAAGATAAAGAAGGATTAACCTGGAAAGGAGGAGTAAATCTACCCTGGTCTTTGATTATCTAGGAGAGTGCTAAGGTACAGTAATTTATCAATTTGCAAAAATTTAAATTTCAAAATTCGAAAAATGGAACTCGCGCGTAAAGCCTATATTTTCATGGAAAATAAAAATTCCAAAAAATCGAGAAATTTTGGTAAGTTGCAAATAAGTATGGCTACCGAATGAAGGTTTCTAGCAGCCACCAAGTGGAAGGATCGGGTGGAATGTCCGATCCCTGTAAAATAAAAGACTGCTGGTAACCGATTTAAACGGGTCCTGACCAGCTGACACGACTGACGCGGAACCATCGGTAAACCGGTTCGCGAATAGCTTGTGGGAACAAAGACGGGTCTTATTCGCGATGTTGTGACGTCACACTGGCGAAGCGGAAAGTGGGTGGACGAGTGTGAACGCACACTAAGAAATGGTGGGACCAGTCAGTGAGGACGGTCAGTGATCGGTCTGCTGGAAGAGGCTGGATACTTCTTCTCGATGAGAGAAGCATCCTTTAAAATTAACTCCAAAGATCAAATTGATAGAAAAGTAATCCATATGACGTGGGGCAATCATGACCCAAACCCTCTAAACTTAATTTGCAATAATTTTTTAAAATTTAAATCCTTCCTTTTTAATTTAGAAAATTTAAAGAATGGAAATGAAAGATGGTTAAAAATTAAATTTAAATTATTCCTATATCTCAATGATCCACTGTTCAAAGATTAAACGCTGAAGACGTTTATTTTAATTAGCTAAAGATAATAAGGAAAGCAGCTGAATGGTAATAAGCATCGAAGGAGATTATTGTTCAACGACATTCGGGTTACGCAATATCGCGTTTGTCCAGCAATTTCGTCACGAGACCACCTTTCGAACAGCTCACCGTTCGATGTTAAACGGCACATGAGTCACGGTTAGCTGCAATCTTTTCCTCCACGAAGAAAGCCGCGTGGAGCCCGCAACGTTCGTAACACGTGTCGTGTCGGAGCCGTTCGTTTATTTGCATCGCGCGACTCCTCCACCTGCGACTGAGAATCTCTGCGCAGAGGCGAGTAGTGATTCACCACGGCAAAAAGAGGAAGAAAAACCGGGAATGAACGAGAAACGGAGAGGAATAACCCGTGGACACTAAGAACCATCCCAGGAACCGCTGTTCCTCGCGACCAGAACTCGAGGAACGATCTTCCATCTCTTTTCTTTTTTTTAATATCGCTTTACGAATTAAATTGAATTGAACAATTAAATAGCGGATATTACACTTGGTTCACACTTGAATATGAAGATACTTTTATTCAGCTGGATCGAAGCTGTTCGATCGAAAGTAAGCCCGTTCCTCGGGTTTATTGTCCGGATAATGACCGCACGGTGCGATTCGAGATCCAAGAGAGGAAGCGACGTTGTTCGTTGCAACGTGAGCCCAGGTAAAAAGGCAGCATCGAAAATTTAAAGGCTCGTCAGCTGTTCCGGCTCGCAGGGTAAGAAGAACCGTCTTCTTTTCCTTTCGGGGGAGGAACGAGGGTTGACCGAGAACAGCTGCTACCCCTGAAGAATAATCGAGCCGAACGCGAATTTCGTGAGAGACGAGAATCTTTCGCTTTTCAAATCGAGATATACCGCCAGTGCGAGCATTAAAGTCACCGGACATCGCTTCTTCGATCTCTCTTCGTGAATTCGAAATTTAATGTTCCGGAATTGACAGAAACCATTTTACTTAACAATATTATATTTTTAATTGCTCTTAATTATAAGGAGGAAAGTGTGTATCTAATTGGGTTATAAATTTCTTCTAATGAATAGAGAAGAAAGAAGGGAAGACGGCCAAGAATAATGTTTTACGAAGTGCGCGTATAAATGTTTTAAGGAACACGGTTCAGAGACCTCCCACAATGTGCCACCGCGAAAAGGCTCGCAGCGTTGGTCTCTTGAACCCTCTCCATTAAGGAAAACTTGTTGACACGTAAAGGCGAGCAACTGAACAAGGAAAAAAAAAAGATGAAAAATGGAGCAGCTGTGACCTTTTGGTCCTCTGAGAATCGAAGCATCGTTAAATTTCGAGATCTCCACAAGGGTAGCACAGAGCCTTCATTTATTTATCACGAAACCTCTTTTGATTATATTTACTTAACCACTGTAAATTTCCTTTTTTTTTTCAATTTAATCGTAAATTGCTGTTTTGGAACAGTTGAGAAACACTGATTCGGAAGGACGTTGAATCATCGAGGAAACAGCTCCAGATTTCAATCGATCGATTATAGAGGAATGTGAACCAGTCGAGAAAATAGAAGAACGGCTTCATTGTATGTACAATCTATAACTCTGAAACGTTTTTCCATTCTCAAACAATCAATCACACAAACATCTAGCTTGGAATATTGATACCAACTCCATTCAATCACGGTACAGAAGAAAATTACCCCCCCGACCCGACATCGATACAACCTATCTCCCTTTATACCCAAGCGAAATAATTTTTCGTTGTCTCGCGACCCAAAAAGTCTACCGACATAATGTTAAAAATAGAACTCTCGTATCATCAAAACAACCCTTTGGTGCCTCCGAAGTGAGCCAGAAAATGAAAAAAAAAAGATTCCAGAGTTGTGACCCAAATGTATTAATGCAAATCTTCCGAAAATTCAGATCGCTACGAGAATATCAATCAAACTACCCCTGTGTCGCCGAGGCAACCCCTAGCTGTCTCAGAGGCGACCCAGAAAACTGGGGAAAAAGAAGGGAGAAAAAGCGCGATGCTCGGCGAAACACAGTCTGGTGAAGATTTTTTCGAATAATCGGTCGCGACCCAGACTAGGAGGAAGTCTTTGTCCGGGCGCGCATTGTTGCATCTGAAATTCGTGAAAGATTCGGTGGCGCGAGGTGGTCCGCGGGGGTGGAGAAAGGGGCCAGGCTTGGCTGGCGGAAGACAAAAGTTGGCCGAGTAGGGAAAAAGAGAAAGAGAGAGTTTCCACTTCGCGAAAGCTGTTGCTGACAATGGAACAGCCGTTCTTAGAAAAAGGCTCGTCACGCGGCCGGGAACAACAGACATCTGATGAGAACGGGGTGCAACGGGAGATACGTTGAAGGGTGACTGGAACGAAGGAAAACGTGCGAGGTATGGAAAGAGACGAGACGAGAGGAGAGGAGCAACGGGATAGAATGTTCTCTTCTGGTGGAACGAATATCTCTCTCGTTGCCTGTGTGCGACTGTCGTTGGCCGACTGGCAAATCACGCATTGAGGGAAAAAAAAGTCGGTCAACGACGCGCGCCAACCGCGACGATACAAATCCACCCCTGTGACAGATAGCTGAACATCGAGGGTGGAAATGAAGACTGTTGCTGGAGGACTTTCTCTTCAAAGTAACACTGCGATTCTTACTATCTTTTTTCCTCGACGAATTTCAAAATTTAACACCTAAGATTTTCACAGAAATCCATCCCCAGTATTATTAGAAATTCTCTTCTATAAATAATAAAAATGAGAAAATTTTGATTTAAAATATTTCATATCAAAATGCTGGATTGAAATTATTCCTGATGGTGTAGGACGAAGTAATTGAACACGAGATGAAAGAAAAGAAGTAAACGAGCCCTCTGGTGATCCAATCTCTTTGCCTTTCTCTGGCTGGCAAATCATCCATTGAGAGGAAAGTCGGTCAACGAGGAACTGGAACCGCGACGATACAAATCCAGCCCTGTGACAGAATCGCGGATAAGCGCGATATCTGGCTGTTGTTCGATGGAAAACGACGGAAACGAGGCAACCGAAGGGGGGTTGCGCGAAAATAACGCAGGAAATGACGACTCCCGACCGGTAGGACTCTCTTTCAACGACCTACTTTCCATTGTGTCTCTAGTCCTGCTTCTGCTCGAACGGAAGGAACACCACCATCCTGTTGGAATATTAATATCGGGGTTACTGGGAAACTTCTCTGAAACCAGACTCTGTTCGGAAACGTCTCTCGATAAGAAGAAAGCATCCTCTTCGATGACTTATCGAGAATTCTAAAAGGGGTAGTTTCAACAGCTGAAAAATTTGTATATTATCTCCAATTAAATTATTAATTACTTCGAGTAGGTATCATAGAATAATTCGAAAGAGGAAATGATAAATTCATCCCCCATTACGAGTACAGGCTAGGCGTGAATTCATTTTTAATAGCTCGTTCAACAGCTGAATCGTTATTAACAGATATTTATAAAACATTTATCCTTCGTCTGATTAACGAACGAAACATTTACACCGACCTGACTATATGGGTTATCGGATTTTCCGTGAATAAACCGTGCAATCTTTAACGTCCTCGAGATGCAAAAGTGGATCGTGTAAGTAGCTAAGAATACTCCGATTCACTCTATTCAACGCTCACGATTCTGTCGTTCCTCTTCAACTTCCGAACGCTCGATGTCTCTGAACCGAACACGAAATCGACCAGAGAAAGTGGAAGTACGAAAATAGAAGATCTGTGTATACCCGTCGGAAACATCCTAAAACCAACCCTCTCCTTCGGCCAACAGCTGTGTGTATTATAACACGTTGTAATTGAAATGATTTAGAATCGGATTTTTTAAAGAGGAAACCAGATAACGAAGAAGAAACATGAAAGAGTAAATGTTGTAAAGATCTGGGTAAAATATATGTATATTTAAAGATAGATGGTGTTCCGACAAAGGGGATCCCCCGAGATGAATTTTAAATTATTGCAAGCAGAGAGGCTAAGTTTATCTCGAGATTATTATCAGGTGCTTCTTTGATGCACCGACCGCTAATGAAGTTGCTCTTGTACAGTGGAAACTGGGTCACCGTTGATTTTTCAATATATTTGCAACGGAAATATTGACATTTTACTACTGCTGATACAGGGTTTGATACAGTCTCTTCCTGCTTCCATTCTCTGGATTGCATATTTTATCAAATTTAAACAGAAGTCTGATGTTTCACATTTTGTTAAAGGAGGATGTAGCACTTGGACGAATCTTAAAGCTACACGTAAGACCCGTGAAAGCCGAGACGAAAGTACTGTTACGATATCAGTGTGTTCTTATTAC